GGTGAAGTGCATGAACATCGTTGATTTTGCGACCAGCTTTCAAGTGATGATTCCATTTTTCGAGAAGGAAACCAGCGAAGTCTTGAAGACAATTTATCTTGAAGCTTGGCAGCGGTGGGCTGGACCACCTGTTGAGGTCATCACTGATCCTGCTCGCACGAATCAAGCCGAGTCAGTTTTTCAACAGCTTGAACGTGATGGCATTCGCGTTCTGTCCAGTGCTGCAGAAGCACACTCACAGCTAGGTAAGGTTGAGAAGCATGGACATTTGTTCGAGGTGATCCTGCAGAAGGTGATAGACCAGGTACAACCCAGAAATAGGCAAGAATATGAGCAGTGCATTGTTCAGACAACGAATGCCAAGAATGAACTGCTAAACCAACACGGTTTGTCGCCATGTCAGTTGGTGTTCGGACGGAACCCACGAGTTCCGGATGACCTCTTGCAAGAATGGCCATGTCCTGTTTCTGGTACTGCCTCCTTGTCGGATGATGCAGTAGCACGATCGCAGTTGATCAGGACACAAGCACGAACAGCCTTGATCATGTCCCAAGATGACAAAACACTAAGGACAGCACTGAACGCACGGCCAAGGGTTGAACGAGATTTCATTCCTGGAGACTATGTAGCCTACTGGAGGACTCAGAAGTATGAAAAGGGGGTGAGACTAGTAGGTGGCCGATGGTTTGGTGTTGCGGTAGTGATGGGTAGGGTAGGTAGGAACTACTTAATCTATCACCGGAAGAACATGTTCAAGGTGGCACCAGAGCACTTGCGTCATGTCACGGCTGAGGAACGCGTGCTAGCACAGACGGACGGTCGAGAACTGCTCGGGCTGAATGAAATGCTAGAGAACAAAGACAAGTTAGGAACTCAGTTCATTGACCTTACCGGAACTCCCACACCGATGCAACTTGCGACTGCTCCTGAAGAGACCGAAGATGTTTGGTTTAAGCAGGGTGATTTGCTCAGGCGTATCCACAAACGACCAAGAAGCACTTTGTTTGTCCCTGATCCAAATGATCCAGTGTTAACAGGCATTTCACTTGAGAATTGGAGACGGACAATTCGGTCAGATACTAAAGAAACAATAGTGCATCAGATCTGGTCAAATCCATCATGTCAAAACATGTCATGGGGAGAGAGTTCCTGGAAAGGCGAATCTCAGTTTCGCATTCGACCCAGAAGGGAGCAGCCGATCACGTCTGCAGCGGTCCCAGTCAGTCAGCAAGCAGCTGCTGGTTTGAGCACAGCGGCGACCCCGAACTTGCCAAGCACTGAAGAGACCCCAAAGGTTGAAGGAAATGAACAAACCAAGAACAGTTCGGAATCCCCAAAAGGCGGTAGTCATCGTTGGAGTCCTCTTGCAGATGATGGTCAATCTCAAACAACTAGACAGGAAGGGTATGGTCCAGTTCGACTACGTCAGCAGAAAGGTCCACCGTTGGTGCTTTTGAGACCCCCAGAAATGAAACAGGATGATCTCATGGAGGTTCTAGAAGAAAATCATGGCACCAAAAGGAGTCTTTCGCCAGAAGGTCAAGCAAGTGCTCCCAGCAAGCACGTCCGCACTGACGAAGACGAATGCCTCCTATCCGAGCTAGTGCACGAGAATGGTCCAGCTCCATGTGTAGAAGTGTTGATAGCAAATTTCTTGCAGAAGAAATTGCAGAAGGAACTCCATCACTCAAACAATCCACCCATGCTGCAAGAGAAGATCGATAGGTCAAAAACAACAGAATGGACCACTCTTCGAGACGAAAAGAATGCCATCAAGGTTCTTCCACCATCAGAGGCCAAGAAGATTCGAGAGCGAAGACCTGATCGCATCATGACAAGCCGATTCGTCATTGTTGAGAAACATGAAGATGGGGATAGCAAAATCAAGTCGAGGTGGTGTTTAAGAGGACACCATGATCCTGATTTGCTTCAGAAGGTCTTGGCAGGGAAGTGTCACTCCCCGACGCTCTCCCAATTCGGTCGAAGCCTCATTTTACAAGTGATTGTCAGCCACCGGTGGGTCATGCACTTGGGAGATATAAAGGGAGCATTCCTAGAGGCAAACGTCCGGGACAAAGCATTGTTGAATCCGGTCTTCGCCGAACTGCCTCCGGGTGGTGTACCAGGGGTAGCACCAGGTTCACTAGTCCAGGTTTTGGGAAACATCTATGGAGCAAATGATGCCCCGCACGAATGGTACTGTGAGTTCGACAAGGTCGCAATCCAATCGGGTTTTACTCGTAGCAAGTTCGACAGTTGTCTGTACTTATGTCATGGGGAAGACGGGAAGCTCCAGGGTGTGTTAGGTGCTCACGTGGATGACACAATCACCGGCGGAGCCGGAAGTCGCTATGAGTCTGCAATCGAAAAGCTCAGACAGCGTTTTCCGTTCAGGAAGTGGAGATCTGGCACAGGAGAGTTTCTGGGCACCGTGTATGAACAAGACAGTGAAACCTTCGAGATAAAGTTCGCCCAGAAAGAATATGCCGAACATATTCAGCCGATTCGAATCAACAAAGAAAGAAGCCAGAAACCATGGTTGCCAGCCACATCTCAAGAGGTGTCAGCTCTTCGGGCCGTCAACGGAGCCCTAAGTTGGTTGAGCACCCAGACTCGACCTGATTTGGCCGTACAGACCTCACAGAGTCAACAGTGTTTTCCAAATCCTACGGTTCAGGACCTGTGGCAGGCAAATCAGGCCGTTCGCCGGGCAAGACAACAATCTGACCTCCAGATCCGTGTCCCCTTTATCCCACCTAGTGAACTTACTTTGTGCTTTTGGTCGGACGCAGCTTTCGCTAATACCGATGAACTAAAGACTCAAGGGGGGTGGTTGGTAGGATTCACATCGGATCGTATGAGGCAGGGTACAGACGTCCCGGTTCACTGTTTTGCTTGGAAGTCATATCGACTCCCTCGAGTGGTTTCCTCCACGATGGGAGGAGAGGCTCAGGCCTTTTCGACCGCTTCAGGCATGTGCGAGTGGATTTCACTGATGCTAGCAGAATGTTTGGACGGACCATTTCTGTTGGAAGACGCCGAAACTGTGTTGCTGAGACGGAAACCCATAGGGATGACAGACTGCAGATCATTGTTTGACCATTTGAACTCACTTGGATCCGGTGGAGTGTTGGACGACCGACGGACAGCAATCGACATTGCCATAATAAGACAGTCAATCCGTCGCACAGGACTCGAGGCACGTTGGGTTCCTACCGGTCACATGATCGCAGATGGTCTGACCAAGGACCGTGCAGAACCAATGGACTTGTTGAGGTCCGTGATTCGAGCTGCAAAGTATCAGTTGGCTGATGAGCAACTCGTTCTCGATCGCAAAAAGGAAGAACGGGAGAGAAGAAAGCAAATAGCCAGCCGACGTGCAGAAGCCCACAAGAAGAAGCCAGGTCAAGTACTGGCAAGTTGAATTCATGGTGATTTTGTTCCTCCGCACCTATGCAAATTTTCGACATGCATTTTCTGCTTAATTGTGAATTTTCTGTAAGTGTAGGGGTCACTGCAGAGAGGGTTAATGAGCAGAGTTTTTCGTGCATGTATAGATGAACCATCAAGTTGCAACTCATGTGAAACATGTCAGTTGTTCTTTCGTTAGAGAGTCTAGACGTTGCCTGCATGTATAGCTCAGAAGCGAGCCGTGTTGGACAAGTGTTCGTTTGAGATGCCTCGTGCTGAGTGCTTTTTCTCTCGAGAAGTGCCTCAAAGAGACCTTTCGAGGTTTCCAGGAGGTTGATTTTCGTTCGACCTCATTCCGCCGTGAGATGGCTTCCCAATCGTCACCAGTGACGCCAGAGGAGTTGGCCCGCGCCCAAGAGATTCTGACCAGAGCATCGCAAGCTGGAGTGAAGAGCAGAAAGGAATCGGATTATGGATATGCCACCATGAGCGATGGGTGCAAGCGGCTGCGAGACCAAGACCTGAAGGACTTGGCTCTAGAGGAAGCCTGGGAACCGGTGACATACACCGACCCAGATCCAAGCCTGCACCAGATGCGCCTTGAGGCAGGAGTGTCTTCATCCCAGGTTCCAGTCATTCCCGACAAGAAGAAGGTCAGCTTGCCGGCCGGGATCGTGAGCTTGAGCGACTGGGGCAGCACCGTGTGTCGTTTGCCGAAGGTGAGCAAGTTGGGCAAGACCTACGATGAGTTGGTCAAGGACAAGGGGTATCAAAGCTATCTGCTTTGGATTCAATCCCACGGCAAGGACAGAGATGGCAAGTTCGGTGATTTCGCTGCCTATCTAGCAGCGATCAGCTATGCCGAGAGTGTAAGTGCACAGCACACCTCGGACGAAAATTCCAGTTTTCCGGGAAGCACGGAACGGCGTGAGAAGCGCTGAGAGGTTCCCTCATGAAGTTGAGACATCTGCATGCAGAACAGCTCCCGAGAAGATTCAGAGGAAAATCTTCTTAAAGAATTTTTGATGAGTGAAAAAGCAGTGTCTCGTGTATAGATGTCCAGTTGAGGTTCGCATCCATAGGCAACCTACGGCTCTAGGCAGAGCGTTCAAAAGGGCGCCGGAAGGGTTAGGATAGGATTCCTAGTGTTGGGCACGAGGGTGCCTAGTTTCGACATATATATATAATATTTATGTTGGGTACATCCTATTCCCTGTAACAGTGGATTGTGGTGCTTAGCAACAGGCCTTTCTGTAAAACCACCTCCCTTCCTCGGTCCAACACACGAGCAACCATGAGCAACCATTTGGCAGATTGGCCCTCAAAAAAATGAGGTCATGACTCGGTCCCGACGCCCAAGAGCTCTTCAAGAGTTCTTCATCTACTTGTCTATTTGGAGGGAAACAAGGTCTTGCTTCCCGTGACTTCGGGACACCCATCAAGACTAAAAGCAAACTGAACCCCTCTGGCAGCTTGACCCGAAAACCCTATGGAAGCCCTCCATTTGGACCCTAAAAGCCATCTCCTCGTGCCGCATGGAAAAATCCAACCCGCGGGAGTCTCTTCATTCCGCTTCGGAGCCGAGCGGCTCCTCCTGCACCCGCGCTTCCTTGGCAGGATCCACCTGACCAAAGAATGGAATAGAACAGAATCCTCGACCGGAAGTCCAGCATGGTGCAGCAGTATCTCTCTTGCTTTTCATGCGCGGGCCGATCCCCATGGCTGAGACGGGGAGGTCTGCCCCGTAATTAGGGTGCTCAAGGAACAAGAGGAGGTCCCGTGAGCATTGCACATGGAAAATCAAGTTGAGGGAGATGTCAAAGTGCACGTTGCTTACAAGGTGAGGGAGCGAGGGAGGGAGGGGAGGGAGCGAGCACGACAGACAGACAGACAGACAGACAGACAGACAGACAGCCAGACAGACAGACAGACAGACCGCCCGACAGACAGACAGCCCGACAGCCCGACAGCCCGACAGCCCAGCCAGCCAGGCAGGCAGACAGACAGACAGAGATTCAGCTCAGACACGCCAGACAGAAGACGCACAAGCAGCATGCTGGAATGACGATGGACAAAAATTCTATATGACAGCCTGAACATGCTATATAGTGACGGCAGTGACAAATGAAACAAAGGATGACAAGACAAATAAAAATTCCACACCAGCACTCATGATCGAAAGCTGCACAGCTGCAGGAAAAGAAGAGACGGGCAGGGGCAAGGTTGAACAGTGTGGGTGAAGCAGAGACGAATGAAGACATGACCTGTGATACAATGCAGGTCAATGCCACAAATCGACAAAGACAGTGGACAATGGCACGTGCACAACGAGCTTTTTAGGCAGCTTCAGTCTTTGGGTATGTAGTGGAGGACATCCTCCAACAACTCTTTGAACAATGGATGGAAACAATGCTTGCTTGTTTGCCAAAAGAAAGATTGATGCTGTGTAAAAGGCCCCTGTATAAAGCAGGGAATGGTGTAAAAGTTACAAGTTATATACCGTTCAAAGAGAGGGATGTAACTCACATCCGTACAATATATAGTGGCACAATCACAGCTGCTTTAAGACTCACGGCAAAACAAGACAAACGAGTCCACAATCAGCGTTGACTTAACGAGAGAGAGAGAAGAGATGAAAAGGGGAAAGCGAAAGGGAAAGGGGAAGGGACAAAACACAATGGGACAGATTTGGTTCCAAACCAAAACAGAAACATGGCCCCACATCCAGAGATGCGCCATGAAACGATTGGTGCAGGATTGGTTTCAATTGATTTCGATCAAAAGCACCAATGACCACCAAAATGGGAAGTCTGTAAAAACTTCGACTTGCCAATCAGGGGTCATGAGCTCTTCCAGGCAAATCAGCAAATCAATCCTTCCGGTGGATTCAAAATCTGAAGAAACTCAACTTAGTTGGGTTCCTGAACGCTTCAGGCTTCAGGCTTCAAGAAGCACTCCCTACCTACCAGATTTGGGCGTCGCATGTGGCCATAGAGGTGTAGTCTGGGTAGACTGGGTAGAATCTCCAAAAGTACTGCCACCCAGAACCCGCCGACGTCTCCCAAACAAGGCTATGTTTAGCCCCACAGCTTACCTCGAGATCAGACCCCGCCTGCTGTTTCATGATCGTGCTGAACCATTGCATGAAGTCTACAAAATCTGTCTCGGTCAAGCAGAGGTGTAGCCCCAAGAAGATCAGCGTCCCCATGACCAGCACGACAGCGTCCATGGGCCCGATCAGCGCGCTTGGCTTCAGCGCGCGCTGGGCGCACGACGCGCGCGGGCGGTGTCTCTTGACGTTGAGGACGACTCTGGCTAGCCCATGAATTAGGAAGATTGTTTCAGGTTCCATCGAATCCGGAGTAGATCATTGGCGGGTTCTGATGAAATCACATGGTGCGGCTGAGGAGTCAGCTCTTTCCACTTCGTCACTTCTAGCATTCTTTCACTTGCTTCCTTCCCACATGTCTATCTCTTGCAATTCCGTGCCTCTTCTTTCCTTTTCTGCCCGCCCCGTCCTGGACCTTGCTTACTCGAGGTCTCAGGACAAACTCGTGGACCAAAAATAAAGCGCGCGGCCCAAGTCTTGGTATTGGTAGGGCTGGGGTGCCTTTTGTCTTCCGAAAATATGAACCTCAGTGGTCTAAAGGGTCTAGAGGGTCTGGCTTCTTACCAAGTAGGACACTTGCCAATCTTAATTCCAAGAGATACAAACCTCCAATTTTGCTGGACTCCCGAAAAAAGACCCTTCTGCTTTTTTCTGTGCCTTCAGAGACTCTGAATCCATGAGACGGGAGGACCCTAGGCCCCAGCTGTATGTGCAATCCTCCACATGAGGTACCTCAAATCAACTATCCTTTTCTATGTGCAGTATGTGAATTCGGGGAGCACTGTAAATGCCACGAGGGGGGAAGTGTCGCTTGATTCCAAAAGACCCGAGTCCACTGCCATGCCAATACCTCAGCTGGAGGATATCACAGTATCTTGCGGGTCAAACCAGACCAAAACCCCCATCCGTCACAGGAAGATGCCCCCAAAACCACCGCGCCTCAGCCAACCTGTGATCGGTGCTCAGGGCGTTTGTGAGATGGCCTCGGAGTGGAGCTGTCCCCCTCGGTTGTTCACAGAAACCACCACCGTTATCATCGGAAGACGAGAACGCGGGGAAAAACATTCAAAACACACATCTTCGAGTCTGTCTTTTGGAGTGGCAGATTTCTTGCGACGTCCTGACATGGCTCTGAGTCCTTTGTTCCCGCCATGAAGCGGTTTTGGTCTCAGCCCGGGGGCCCTCACTTCCACACGGGTCTCGGCTCCCCTGCAGGCAAACTCCCGGTGCTCTTGGAGGCTTCCAACTGCAAAGCAGACCAGTGAGACAACCGAGTCAGGCAACCGAGCCATGCAAGTATCGGGATGCCACCTAAAAGGCTTAGTCACTTTGCGCATTGGCTTTTTCCCGGAGAGAAAAAATTCAGCTTCGCTGAGAAGTGCACCAAGCACACTCGCAAATCGACTGGGAAACTCATCATATTACTGCGACTTTGTCAGTTCATTGTTTAGAAAACAAATTATTCCCATATAGCACCTGTTACAGCAACCTAGAGGCCCCTGACCTTGTAGGGAAAGAGGTGGAGATAGTGCTCAACAAAGCAACAAATCTCCTGTCTGTGCCATCAGTGACCACGAAGCCCCACACCACAAAGCCGTGCCTCCCGCCGCTTGCGCCGGCCCTCGCGGATCGCCTGCACCTCGGTAAAAGAATTGTGAGTTGCAGAAAATTAGTGTTTGTAAGACTAAGCTAGATTAATCCACAAGCTAAAAATTCAATCAGAAGTGCATTGGTCAAGTTTCTGTGTGTCAGTATAGTATTTGGCATTTGCCATCCTTAATCTTAAAAGTGTCCGTGATTATAACCTCCTTCAACATCACATTGTCCTGCATCGCCCTCATAAGCATTCCACCTGATTACTTTATTGCCCGCCCCCCTTTCCTCTATGCATTCATGAGTCATTTCCAGTAATTCCTCAGTATCATAAAACCCACTCTATCCTTCGATAATACACTGCCTCACTCAAACTGTTTATACTCTTCTGGCTCTTGATAATTCTCTTTTCTAATATCCTTATATTAACATCAATAATTATCGTATCCAACAACCAGCACCACTAGCTACACACAAAACACATAAAAGCTTGAACATGGTCAAGGCAAAAGGGTCATTTGATGTCATTTGAATAGGATTAATCTGGATTTCGATTAATCCTGCGCTCAAAAAAGTCAATGATCTCCACACTACTTTGATCTCAGCTTTGAACTAGTGACTAGCGTGGAAATCATTGAGTTTTTTGGTTGTTTTTTCAGTTTGTTTATGTTCTTTGTGAAGTTTTGGACTGTGGACTAGTGTGGAAATCATTGTTTTGATACTTTGCCCGGTTAGGAACTTCATGGTTATCAAACATGTCCCAAATATGCTTGGTTGTGCATTTGTTGTAAGCGCACGAATCAATCAACCAGAGATATCACAACATCATTCAACGGAAGCATGTCACAACAAGCCTTTCTGAAAAAGAACGAGCGACAGGTTCTGTCAACTGTGGAAACTTGGGGAAAAGGCACAGGCAAGCAGCTGCTTAAAACCTCGTAACTCGGCAAAGGGACTTTGCAAGTTCGTGGTCGGTCCGTCGGTCAGACCTCTTTTCACGGTTTCCACGGAGCGTTTCCACGGTGGCTCAGGTGGCCCTGTAACCGCCATGTGTGATCTTTGTGGTTCACCTCGGTCCGATCCAAAAATTACAGAAACTTGAATCAGTGTTTCCGTTGTGTGTTGAGTTTCAACCCTCCTAAGCCGTAACCCTCCAAAGCGGGCAGTAGGGATACTGAGATACTGTACATTCTTGGCAAGGAGCTTTTCTGAACCCACGAACGATTGATGAACGGTTCCATGCAACCAAATCTTCAGTCCCACCGGAAACCACCGGACGGCGTCTGCGCCTGCGGTGGGACATCCATGGTCCATGCGCCAACACCGGGCGTCCGCGCGGCCTGAATCCGCTGCTGCTGCACCTCGTGGCGCTTCGCCAGGATCATCATCTCCTCGCGCTTCCGCTCCTGGCCGTGGGAAAGGGAACCGGCAAGAAGGAACGAGAACAGTTGAAAAGGGAGAAGGAAAGGATGTATTATCAAGAATACAGGAGTTACAGTTGAATCTTGGATGTACAGGTTGATAAGAGATACATCCTTCAAGAATCTTGGATGTAATTATTCTCTCATCAAGATTCTTGAAGGATGTATCTGTAGAGCCCACCATGAGATCCACCCCAGAAGAGCCTGGATCAAATTTAGAACAATCAAGAAAAGTCAGCACCCCAAACCTGGAAAGAATCAGCCACCAACATACTAAAAACGTTTCCTTCCAGCCCAGGTGACCCAACTTCAATGAACCCACCAATCCACACATCAGGGCGCCCTTTCCCGCGAGTGTAGCGCCTTGTCCCGGGCCCGGTGCCGTTCCACGGCATCGGCCTGGGCGAGCTCCTGGGCGCGCCACGGCATCGAAAGCGAAACCGCACGCGCCTTGGCCGCGGCCTTCGGGGCTTTGGCCGCGGCAACAGGACACATCGACAGCTCCGAAACAGTTTGGAGTCATCTCAAAGGGTTCGAACCAAGGGGGTCGAACCCAAGACACACGCAGCGAGGGCTGCACGAAGGAGCAAGAATCGACCGGCACGCGGCATGACCCAGTTTGAGACCCGACCTTGGACTCCCAGTCCGGATCCACAGTGTTGCAGGGAGAAAGAACCCACCCCTGAGCCCTTGTCAATCCGCACCTCCACGTGAATGGAGCAATCTGCCCAAAGCTCAAGCAGGCCCAAAATAACCTGTAGGGTTTGGGGGACGGGCTTTCTAGGTTCCAGCCACACTCATATCACAAACAATCTGTATACTACTTAGAGAACAAGTGTATGTCCATAGTGTGCATTTTTCAGCACGAACAGAAACTGGAAAACCCGTATCCGCAATCACTTACTTACGGCCAGGGTGGTGGACTGACCAACCGAAACAAGATAAACAAGGCAGTAAACAAACCTGACTGTGAGAAACCACTCGGCATTCTCGGAATACTCCATAGGGGTGTTGTAGCCTTCTCAGGGGTTGGAAGCAAAAGGCACCAAACATACCAAACATGCCGAGCGGAGTTTCCCCCGTCGAGTCCCATAAGTCTGTTGTTTCGAAAACCAGTTTTACGCCGTGAAACACGGTGCCCAGAAAAGGAAAAGCGGCGTTGGGAAGACTGCGCCCCCTGCGGGAACTATCAGATCAAATCAGATCAGATCCATTCTGTGTCCTGCTCGATGACATAGAGCTTTCGCCGATGCGCATCCACCTTAGAGAGCGAACTGGAGCGATGAAAAACTCAACCTTTTGGAGCTGGCCCTTCAACGGATTTTTTCATCTCTGAAAACCCCGAAAAAGATGTTCGAACACCCTTTTGGGGTGGGTGATTAGTCTGGGATAAACGACGGGGGGATGAGCCAGGAGGATCTCTCCCACTTAAACTCCTATGGCTGCCACACAGGTAGAAAATCCTGGACTCATAAAATCCCTGCCATGTGGGGGGGGCTACCGATTCTGTCATCCCTTCGTGCTAATCTTGGGGCTACTCCCCAAACAGGAGAGCTTTGTGCAACAAGCAGGAGAGAGCCGAGAGCCTTGGATATAGGACCTGAAGAAGAGTGGCCTGAAAAAACGACCCCTAGAACAACTGCAAAGCTCGTGTCTTAGAGTCTTCAACGCCTATTTGTCTCGTGTATGTGCAGATTCGGCGATGGCATCAGCGGTTTTATGGGCATTCGATTTGTTCCACTGAGATTCGTAGGAAAAGTTGCCCCAAAAGACCGCAGCCTTCTGCGGGATCGACAAGGCACATCCACCGGCTTGCCATCATTGTCCAGGAAGCCCGCTGTTTGCATCACATGCCTTGCAGTCGTACAGGCGTAACTACATTTGCGGGGCCACCGGAGGAGCATTCCAGCTGTATGAAATCAGCTTGTTGGGCACAAAGAAAACATTGCTCAAAACTTGACTGTGAGTTCTGCTCGCCTAAACCAAGGTATTTTTGTTGGATTCAAATACTATTCATGTTGCCCCTTCATCGTCCTTCGATCGCAAAACCGCCTCGACCCAACAAGACCCACCCTAGACATTTAGACGTCGTCGTCGGAAAGTGGCACGGATGATCACTATAGATTCATATGGTTACAAAATGATATGGCTGTGGGTCAAAACCTGGAGCCCTAAACCCTCTTACAGTAGGTTGACCTCCTTAGTAGGCCATTCTGCTCACTTTCTGT